TGTTTTCTTATAGCTGCATCCTTAGAGTTTCCCTCCAACACCAACTCCATTAGATGCATGACGCTTGAGAGGTATGACTGCTTTAGTGTTTTTTGTCAATAAGATTCTGTAATTAGACCCCGTCACAATTGTCAGCACCAGGTCCACTGGGCTCTTAATCTGGCCCTGACTGTTGTCACCAGAACAACTACATCCTATTGTATTTGTTCTGGTGAGTTTAATCATTCGCGTCATGCTTTTTGCAGCAAACACTGTCTTTTCAGAGAAAATGCAGTGTTTACACACCAGCCATCTGAGGAGGGGCCACTGGAGATATCCCTAGGCTGTTAGAGTTGCTTCCTGGGACAGTGTTGCACAGCATGACTGACATTCAGTGTCTCCACCCTCTGCATGAACTTTCCTTATAGAGGTACATAGATAGAATGCATCTCTATGATGAGTTGCTGATACATGTTTGTGTTCCTAACCCTAATGTTCCTTTAAGCATTAAGCCCAGTGACTCTAAGGTATAGTAATATGATTTACCATCCTTTTCTACTTTGTTTATTGTTAGGAGCTGAGCTATATCTTACTGAGGAGCTGCAGAAGCTGTAAGGCGTTGTTGTCACCATTTATTGGCAGAGAGCGTGAGCTGACCACTCTCACTCAATGTTTGCAATTCTTTAAAAGAGAAAAATTTGCACACAGTTGACATTAGCCAGCCTAGAAGTCTAATTCCGGGCTGACTGATGACCCCCCCAGTGATTCTGACGGAGATGGAGTTACACCTTCGAAATGAAAGGGGTTAATCTCCCTATGTGCAGTGTTTCAAAGCAAAAGGTTACACATACAGACTCCAGGCACCATGACCACTTCAAATCACTGAAGTGGTCATGGTACTTGGAGTTACCCTTTACTTGAAGTTGTTATGGTACCCACTGTGATTCTTTAACTTGGTTAACTTACCCGGACCGTTACTGTGTACCTCCAGCTGTATACCCAATGACTTTAATTGTTATGACTACTTGTGGCAAACCTAGCCACTTAAGACTATGTTATGTATAAGGGTTGCCTACGGGTAATTGTATATGTAAGGGTTGTCTCCAAGCGATATGTGTATAACTGTATGTTATATCCTGGTTTGTATGTACTAGATAGCATTCGTATGCTGGCGGCTCGAAAGCCGCCAGCATTCATATGGCAGGTTCACGCACAGTGTATTTCAACACTGTTCGTGAAACGAACAAAGTACCGAAAGGGAGACCACACAAATAGGGTTGCGTGTCTCCCATTAATTCTGGGAAAATGTATCCACCACTTGTTAATAGGTTTCCAGGTGTACAGAACACGTGGTGGCGGCGGCCATCTTTGATCCCTCCAGCCCTGTGTTTGGTCATAGAGTGCCTGGAACTAAAATCGGCTACTCAATGGCACGAACACCGCTGGACTTCCATACCGTTCTGGACAATACTTCTTTCGGTATTTTCATATAACCAGTCCATTCGTGCATTTCCATGTATGTTCATATTAAACTGTATTTCGTATGGCGTTTGGTTAATTGTGCAGGGATCTTAGCGGTATTTCACCAGATGGTGCGCTCAGATCCCAGCTATGTGAAAAGGTGTCATTTGGTTAAATGTACCAAATGGTGTGGAAGTTATATATTTTTCTGTAGAAAGTCATATTCTGCTGTACAGAGAGATAATCCAATTAACAGTACATTCTGGGGTGATTATCTCTCTAGTACAGCAGTGCATTATGGGAAATCAGCCTGTAAGCTAAGTCCCCCAAGTAGTCCACTACTGGACAACCCATGCAAGGTCACTTTGGAAACCCCTTGCATGGAGAACTGCATAAATACTGTAACCTGTGAATAAAAGCTCAGTTGATTCCCAGACTATGTTCTTGGGTGAATGGGATTATTATCACGCTACCTGGATTTCTGTATGTTGTACCTGTCTACCAGTGGAGATATCGTGGATTATACTGCCTCTCTGCTACACTACTCTTTTGCAATATTTACTTGTGATGCCCTTCCATCATACTAAGTCACCATGAAACAGTCTGTCTCAATTTTTATACTTCACATATTCTGACCTATAACTGGCATGATGGATCATTTCCTTATCCTGACAGGTTATAACCTTTATTTTTTAAGGTGGATCCTCACAATTTACAGTCAGAGTTAAAAAAATAATAATATATATTCAATGCTGGGTAAATAATTCAACTTAATTCTGGAAGTCAAATTATACACCTAAACCCTAGGATTCAAATTACACACCCAGACCCATAAAGATCTATATAACGGCCACCACCACAATAACAGAAATATCAGAATATATCATGCATCTATATGTGTGTGTAACGTATAAAATGTTTGATAAATTTGTGTTGACATCAATTCTTAGAAAATATTGCATACCGTACACTGGCTGTGTAGCATAAAACAAACAGGATCTGGCATCTGTCAAACATCCTAAAATGTCTATTTTTGTAGAGACCTATACATTCAACAACAACTAAGAGAACAAACAGTACAAACAGGACAAGCAGTACTGCTTAACATCTTAGTACATATACCTTTAAGAAGAACTTGTTATCTCTGTATATTTTACATTTTGTTGTAAAATACGCATCATAAATACACATGTACCTGGATTTATGTTGAACTCACACTTTTGGACAAGAAATTGGACTTTCTCCATCTCTCATAGGCTGCCCTTCTGCATTCACCCTTATATTATGGAAGTAATAGAAAACAATGACCAAATCCCTCACCACCATTACCATCACCACTGTCAGTCGATCTTTGCTATTCTAAGCAGCATAGTATACATGAATGTGGCATACTGGATGGGCCTACTATTTTTTTGTTTGCACTCAAATTTTATTTTTCTATGTTTCTCCACTTTTAGGAATCAACAATTTAACTTATTCTTGTAAAACCTAGTAAAGAATGTTTATTTTTATTTTTATTTTATTACAAAATGTACTTGACCAGTTTATTCTTGCAAGAGTCTATACCGGGAGTGACCTGCATATTTAAAAACAAACAATAGAAAAACAATGTTATTGTCCATCTTTATTCTGGCTATAGGGATTTAATCATAAAATGTACAGCTGGTGTCCTCTAGTGGAGCACTTTTGTATGACATCTTTTATCTCTGGTTTGAATATTGGAATATATGAAAATAATTTATTAGTATTCAGTACCATCTTACAGGTTTCATTCTGTCAAATTAACCGCTTAACAATGCTACTAAGTTCCATGACGTCCTCCACACAGTGGGCTTAAAAGATAATAGGATGACATGGAACTTCCTAGCTTCTGGTGTGAGCAGGATAAAAAAAATACCGGGCAGAACAAGATCAATATTGGATGGACCCTACTGACAGGTAGGGCCTTATTTAGTGGCCCCAGACTGACAGATGAGCTTTATGCAGTGCTCAAAGAGAGCACTGTTTACTGCCCTTTAAATGGGGATTTAAATACCCCTGCTTAAAAATCTGGTGTGAGCAGGGTTTAATCCCTGCTCAAACTAGGAAGTCCCAGGTATCAATCAATCAATAACAGGGGCTCCCCTATGTCATCTGGGGCCTTATTTAGTGGCCCCAGACTAGCAGATGAGCTGTATGAAAAGATCCTAGCATTGTCACCCTGCATACCCCCTGCCAACTGTGATCAGTGTGATGGACAGAAGCAGAATGCTAGGCTGAAACATAACAGGGAGCTCTCCGTGTCATGGTAAAAAACAGCCAATAGATGGCAGACACAAACAGCTACTGTTTTAGCTAAGAAATCCTCTAATGAGATCAGTACTGATATTTTCAGAGGGTATACTTTAGGGGTATGGGTTAGGGAGTAGAGTTAGGGCTATTGTAGGGTTAGCGTAAGGTAAGGTTTGATGCTGGGTTAAAGGTAGGGATAGTATACGGTTAAAGTTAGGGGTAAGGTTATGGTTAGAGTTAGGGGCACGGTACGTATAGGTTTGGGGTAGTTGAAATAAATTTAGATTTAATTACCAACAATTAATTTAGATTACAGACAAATGAGGCATATTAACAATCAAGACTGTATTTTGAGTTATATTTCTCTAATTGCACTAAAGGCATAAATTCCAGAAAAGTGACAGTTTCTCTTTAATCACACATGTATGCATCCAGGGTCGACGTAAGATCCATTTGACCAGCAGGAGAGGAGTGCACAGCGCTCCCCTCCATCTGGTCAGTCATTGTAGCGTGGCTGAGCAGTGGACCGCTGTATCCTCTACCTGGTATGACAGGAAGTGCCCACAGGGAGCGCTGAACATCTTTAAGTCAGACCGGTAAGAGGAAACAGAAGCTCTTACCACGGTCTGCAGCTTGACCACACTACACAGGAAGGTGAACTGCACAGGATGGTTGGAAGAGACCTGAAAGGGGAAAATCAAAGAGACAGAAGGGGGAAAATCAAAGAGACTGATTTTCCCCCTTCTGTCTCTTTGATTTTCCCCCTTCTGTCTCTTTGATTTTCCCCCTTCTAAGAGACAGAAGGGGGCTGAGGACTGGGGGGAAAAAAGACATACAGGGACTTGGGGGCAGGGACACGCAGAGGGGCTAGGGAAACACAAAGTGACAGAGGGGCTGGAGAAGGTGTAAAAGAGACAGACACAGACTGGCTGGGGGGAGAAAGGTGCTGGGAGAAGAGACGCATGGAGAGGCTGGGGGAAGAAAAAGGTATAGAGGAGGTGGGGAAGGGGAGAACAAGATAAGCAAGTAAGGCTGGGAAGAAGAGCTACACAGAGCGGATGTAGAAGGGGAGAAAGATACACAAAGGGGCTGGCGGAGCAGACGAGATGCACAAAGGGGCTGGGTGAGAAAGACAAAAACAAGCTGGAGGGGAGAAAGATGCACACAAAGGGGTGGGAGTCTAAGTGACACACAAGGAGAAAAATGATGGAATAACCAGTGGTGTATCCTGGTTTTGTGCTGCCCTAGGCAGGACAAAACTCAGGCGCCCCCCCCCCGCGCACCAATCACCCCCCCTCCAACCCGCCTTCTAAATACATACACACACATACATTCACTGACAGATACGCATACACTCGCTAACAGAAACACACTCACTGACACACTCACACTCACTAACAGACACACACTCACTGACACAGTCAGACACACACATACACACTAACAGACAAACACAGTCAGACACACACACTAACAAACACACACACATTAACAGACACACACTCACTGGCAAACACACACACTCACAGACACAGTCAGACAAACACACTAACAAAACACACGCACATTAACAGACACACACTCACTGGCAAACACACACTCACAGACACACACACTCATAGACACAGTCAGACAAACACACTAACAAAACACACACTCACATTAACACATTTTTTTATTTATTTTTATTTAAACCCCCTCCCCACCTCCTTACCTTTGGGAGTGCTGGGGGGGGAAGAGGGGTTCATTACCTCCCTGGTGGTCCAGTGGTTGCCGGGCTGGGCTGGGCAGGCGGCTGGCGAGGGAGCTCTTCCCCTGAGCGGTCTGCTCAGCTCCCTCGCGCGCCGCAAAGTGACATCATCTTCCGGCTCCCAGCCTCGCTCTGCGGCGCGCGAGGGAACTGAGCGGACAGCTCAGAGGAAGTGCTCCCTCGCCAGCCACCTGCCCAGCGCCCAGTGCCCAGCGCCGCCCGGCTGGTCAGTTAGCCGCGAGGCTAACAAAGCATTTGCCTGGGCATTTGGGGGCGGCGTTTTTTGCCGCCCCCTGAAAAATGCCGCCCAAGGCAAATGCCTTGTTTGACTCGCGGCTAATACGCCCCTGGGAATAACGGGAGTGTAAGACATAAGGGGGATAAGATACACTAAAGGGGGTAAGACATTCAAAAGTGAGGATAAGAAACAAAAAGAGGGGTAATAAATTAAAGAGGAGGATTAAGGGACACACAGGTGAATATGCATTTAGGAGAGGGGGGGTGGTAGGGGCAGCAAAATGCATCTTCATCTGTGTAGCCAAAAATCCGTACACCGGCCCTGCATGCAACCTCACTCAGAATCAAGCTGAACTTGGATAGTTTAATTAGAAATGAAGGGAAGAAATTATGTTTGTTTCATTTCCCCTGTGCCCCATATACTTTCTCTACCCTGACTGCTAGATACAAGGTATAGAGCTTATAACAATGACTGACAGGGAGCTAACATGGATGGGGCCTAGTTGCTGGATGAAGATGTTTTGATATCTATATTTAATTTATATTTCACACCATTTATTTATATGTCAGACAATTTGCAAAACCATATTTGTTAAATATAGGTATATGTAACCAAAATATTATAAATCCCGAGAAGAAAAAGTTCCCCTTTTAGTAAGCAGGTTAATTAGAATGTTTTAATAAATGGTGATAAAATAAAACAAATTTAGAAGAAGATAGAATAGGACAACCAGTCACTATAAAAGTTATAGCTCGCAAAATAGGAATTTATGCTCTCTGATCCACTGATAACCGTGGTGTAACATCCTAATGACCAACTTGTGGCAAGTGTCGTTATTTTAGCCATGATTTACTTTACCTGACAAAAAAATGTAACTCTTATTGCCACATCGTTTAAACACAATGACGGTCTACACCATCATAAAGAAACTGTTCTATAAGGTTTTCTAAAATTAGGGCCTACATTTTTTCATGGAGTTAGAAGCATAGAAACATAGAATGTGACGGCATTCGGTCAATCTAGTCTGCCCAATTTTCTAAATACTTTCATTAGTTCCTGGCCTTATCTTACAGCTAGAATAGCCTTAAACCCCCTCACTGTGTTAACATCTACCACCTCAGCTGGAAGGTTATTCCATGCATCCACTACCCTTTTCAGTAAAGCAATACTTCTGGATATTATGTTTAAACCTTTGCCCCTCTATTTTAAGACTATGTCTTTTTGTTGTGGTAGCTTTTCTTCTTTTAAATATAGTCTCCTCCTTTACTGTGTTGATTTCCTTTATGTATTTAAATGTTTCTATCATATCCCCCCGTCTTGTCTTTCCTCCAAGCTATACATGTTAAGATCCTTTAACCTTTCCTGGTAAGTTTTATCCTGCAATCCATGAACCAGTTTAGTAGCCCTTCTCTGAACTCTGTCTTTTTGGGTACCAGGTTATGATGACCTTCAAAATGTTATAGAGATTTCATCTAAGGCAAAGAAAAGGATTTTTTTTTACAGGAAGAGCAATAAGGATATGGAATTCTCTGCCTGAAGAAGTGGTTTTATCAGAGTCCATACAGATGTTTAAACAGCAATTGGATAAATACTTGCAAGAGCATAACATACAGGGATATAATTTCTAATTAGTGGGGAAATAGCTGCTTGATCCAAGGAGACATCTGACTGCTATTTTGGGATCAAGAAGGAATTTTTTCCTAGTTTGTTGGAAAATTGGAGGCACTTCAGACTGGGTTTTTTGCCTTCTTTTGGATCAACAGCAAAAACATATGTGAGGAAGGCTGAGCTTGATGGACTCAAGTCTCTTTTCAGCTATGTAACTATGTAAATAAATTAAATTAAAAAGAAAGATATGTTTTTGAAAATAGGGAATATTATCTATAAAAAGGATGTATTTAAAAATCTCTATTGAAATAAGAGAAAAATAGTCACAGACCAATGCTATAAAGGCAATAATATAAAACAAAAGCAGTGATGTGGTGAAAAAGGGGGGGATTGGAAAGGGAAACGGGATATATCTAGTAAATATATGTAAAAATATATATATATAAAAAGGAAATAAATATATAAAAATTTAAAAGAAAAACTGTATATTGAAATGGGTAAAGAAATATATATGTATTAAAAAAAAGCATACATATATATATATATATATATACATATATACATACATACATACATATACATACACACACAAAATATTATAAAAAGTGGACTAAATCAAATTCTATGTTAAGCCCATTAGGGTGAAGAGTGTCCAGACAATAAACCCATTCTATTTCTAATTTCCCCAAGTTTTTAATGTTGTTCCCTCCTCTCCAATGTTTATATTTAGCGATGCCTGTAAATTTCAAAAGACTGGGATCTTTATTATGTTCTAGAAAGTGTGCAGATACAGTGTGGTTTTTATATTTGGTCCTTAATAAGTTAAACTCAACAGAAAAGCAAATAATAATCCACTGTATTGAATGCAATGGTATAGCAAACAATAATCTGGTTTCCTTCAGTTATGCGATTGTATATGCTGCTAGTGAATCCCCAACATTCCACTTAATGTCATAGGTTCAATTAATCAACTCCTGTCAGTCAGTGAGGTGGGATATGCATGCTTGGTCACACTAAAGGACGCAATAGGTTTAGGAACTGGACCAAACAGGGACCCAACATACCAAGAGCATTTAGTTCATCTTCCCTTTTACGTGCTTTTTTTATAAATCATTAACATGAATTCTTATCTTCTGCTAATTCAAGTGACTCGGCTACCTGGGTATGCATTTAATGTTAAATACTTTATTTCACATGTTTTACAGGAGGCAACCATTACCGTGCACAGTGACCTCTAGTGGTAAAAACATTTATTAGCTGAGACAATTGCATATTACTTTTCATGTCTTGATGATTTCCAAAATGTGACCATTATCTCACACGTCCTGTCCAAACATGCTCATTGATATTGGTAGATGCTGCGGAAATGGACATCCTTAATGAATGGCAAACATGTATGTAAATGGGCTAACTAGTGACAGTTCAACGAATATCCAAATGCCCCTTTGAGGTGGCAATGAATCGAATATATTTTATTTGCATAAATTCTCCAGTTTAATTTTTAGCTTTGTTTGTTTCACTTTATTTTAAATAAAGTTATTGATTATGCAATATAAATTAACTATTAGGCATAAAGGGTTTTTACATTGTTTATCGTTTATTACATCATGTAACAGTGTATTCATTTAAAATTTGTCTCACGAAGAGTATTTAACCCCTTAAGGACCAAACTTCTGGAATAAAAGGAAATCATGACAGAATATTTGTATTGGTGCTATATGAATAATTTAATTGCAAATAAAAGATTTAACTGCAATAAGTAACCTAGGAGTGATTGATGTTTTGTATGTGTGCTAAAGAGGCAATAGTGTTGTTGAGAAGAAGTGAGGTGAGTTGAAGCAGTGGTGGGGATTTCACAGTCTTTGTTATAGTTGAGTAAATGTCACTCCGGAATAGTGAGATCAATGGGCAGTCCTACCAGATGTGCAAGACTCTACTCCTACCTCTACATAATTAAAAATGCCTGTAAAAAAAAAATTAAAAAAAAAAAGTCTTCTGAAAGCCCAATGCTGTGGCAAAGCGTGTTATTTAACTATTTTATGTTTTATCGGTTTAATGTACCCCAATAAAAAGGATTATTTTACAACTACCTTGGACCATCCTGCCTATCCTTGGCACTACACCTATCTGCCTGGACTTCATACTCCTAGGTGGGGAGCGTACCACCAGAGCCCTATGGAGTGAGCAAAATCTTGTTTTGCTCCTGAGGTAGTAAGAGAATTTTTATTTGTTCCACCATTTCACTTATACTATATATTATTTTTGTTTTGCTTTTATATATACCACGGAGAGGACACTGCACCACCTATATCCCTAGAGAGGGGATCATACCACTCCGCAAAATCTAATTGGAGCCATATACTGGTCTCCAATAAATGTGGGTGCATTTCTTAAATTACCTTTTCATAACATCAAACAGTGTAAAATACTACACTATATTGTCTCTCTGTGTTTTTTATTTCCAGTTTCCAGCCGAGATCAAGAGACGCACATTTAGCTGGGGATCATATTGCTCAAGTGTGATCTACCAACAGTTCCTTTTTCCTATAAGTGTATCTCTTTTTCTCTTGCATTTGATTCTATGACATACTGCACTATATTATTTCCTCACGCCTTTTCATTCTTTTTGTTGCACATATCATCGGAGATTATATTAAGGCGCTACTCCTAACTTCCTCCTTCCACTATGTCACAAGAGTGTTCAAGGATAAAGTTTGGGTGTTGGTGTAGTGATTAAATTAAGTAACTGTCTTACACCTATAACTCGATATTGCATATTTTAGTTATGTCACCAATTCTATTTAGAGTAGTTGAGCACATGTGCCCAATGCTTGATGAAAGTTGTAATAACAAAGATGTAAAAATGAAAACAAAAAGCAAAACAATATAACATGTAATAAATTTTTTTTAACATAAATAAGAGGAGAATTAAAAAGGAATGTAATGGTCTA